CCACAAACCGACAATAGTCACTGGGACGTGGGGCAAGATTGTAGGGCATAGTTTGATACACACTGTCCACAAAGCTGGTTGATGACCAAGGCACACCTCATCAGCTTACACCTAAAACACCAGGCTGCTGTTGTGACTCTGACTGGGCTTGGGCACACAGCTTGCAACCTTGGCCTGCTTCCAGGGCACAGATATAATTTGGAGTCAATGCAGCACAGCAGCAACTCAGGCCCAGAGTTGATGCACCATCTTGTGGCCTCACTAATCCTGGAATGGTGGTACCCTAGCAATACCCCAGCAAGCACAGAGCTGTAGCTTGAAGCCCAGGAGCCAGCCATCAGGACAATGACTCCACCATCGGCACGGCAGGAGGCTTTGACAGCTCTGACTTCAGGTTCAGTTCGGTTCCAGGGAAGCAGGGTGTCACAGATGTTTGGCCTGAGTGGCAGGTAGTGACAGCTCACCAGCACTGTTTCTATAGGACTGAGCTGCAGCAGCATCTCGGCCCCAGAAGGCTCAGACACTTGGCTCAGCCACACACTGGTTCCCTGTGGGGCAGGCCACCAAATCGGCTCAGGTGTTGGATGGGGTGCACAGTGCTGCTCCTCTGGAGTATCTCAGTGGTTAGATCAGCAGGGGGACCCACTTATGGCTTAATGCCATAGGGACTGCAGGGGTCCTCTGTGGTGAGGACTTCAGGGGAACCAGCTGGTAGCAGTGTGGCCAGGGTCCTCCTGACTCCCTTTTCCACAGGAAGGCGTGCCCCTGCGTCTAAGCTGATCCTCACTAGAGTTCTAGGCAAGGATGTGGGAGCCAGGTGTGCCCTCCCCCTCACTGTGTGGGTGCCCTGAATGTCTGTGCTATGGCGTCCTCATTTAATCAAAATATGGTCGTTTGCTTGTGGCCTTGGCTGTCTTTCAGGGTACATGTGGTCAGAGCATCTAGTCAGCCATCTTGCTGATGCCAGTTGTCATTAGCTTTTATTGGAGGCTGTCATAATGAGGTTTTTTTGTGTGTCTATTTTTTCTGGTTGAATCACAGGTTCCTTAAGTAGAGTTAGTCTGTCACTCTTACCTGAGTCAGTCAGTGCTCCACAAATGTTCCTTAACTGAGCAGCTGCACGCCCTAATGAGCTAATTAGTTCAGTGGACATGAACAGCCAAGCAGCCCCTTTGCAAGGGCAGACCGCCTCTGCACGTAGCAGGACATGGTTTGAGCCATGACAGTGTTTGGGTCCTGGTGCTCCAGTGATTTCTAAAGCCGGGTGCTTTCTCCATTTGCCAGTTGCTGCAAAAAACTGACTTTGTTTCATGACTCCATCAGATGTCTACATGGATTCAGGAATAGCATAGACCACAATCTATCAAATACAGATTATAGACTATTATGGAACCCGAGGCACACTCCGTGGCTCATGATTCCATCTATGTAATGATGCCATCTTGTGTAGGCGACATCTCTTAGCCTCCCTACAGCAGTGACAGACATACTCTTCCACAAAGGACCAGGGAAATCCTTGCGGGCTTCGTTACAGTGTTTATAAACAACTAGATGATAACACTCTCTTTGTGACTACAGGCAGCGAACACGGTTCGGACTGTATGACCCTGGTCTGTTAGCATCTGTTCTAAAGTAGTATATGTTCTCAAGAATGACTGGTCAGGCATGGAGGTGCACCCCTTTAATCTAGAACTCAGGAGGCAGAGACAAGCAGATCTCTGTGAGTTTGAAGACAGCCAAGGGTTCACAGTGAGGCTCTGCCTCAAAGAAAAAGTTATTCGTAATTAAATATGTTTATGTTTTGGAGGTTGTATTTTAATGATTGTTTAGTATGTTTAGGGCCCTGAGTTTCATCCCAAGCAGTATAAAACATTAATTTCTCATTATTTCTCACCTTTCCTGCCATTTTATCTAATACAAGGATCACCTTCTTTTTAAATCAAGACCGCTTTTCTTAGTCATTTTAATAGGTTTCCGTGGTCCGGAGAGGCAGAAGCTGGACTGTGTGCTCATAAAAGATGGCTACGTTGATGAGTGATATGGTCCCTTCTTGGGTGTGCTCAGCTCTGTCTCATCACCCACTCTTCCTGCTGCTATCCACCAGTCCTCCAGGGCCACGGGACCCCATATCTTTGCTCTCCCCAGCTGGCCTGATAATGGGACCACGACAGAGAACTTCTTCATGATCCTCTTCCTGTCTCTTCATTATTGGTCTGGTGGTAACTGTCATCCTAAAAACTCTTTGGAACCTTCTTAGTTCCTCCCAGCATGCTCACCTCAGCCTGTAGTTGGCAGCCTTGGTACCTACCCCTTCTCCCACCTGCCTTCTCATGTGTCATTCTTGGGGCTGGAAAATCTGCAGCTTCCTTGCTTTCTGCCTCACTCCCCTGCGATTAAAGACCTGTGTCGGTCTGGCTAGCAATTCTGCTAACTCTCTTTCCATGAGATTGCAAAAAATGTCAGTTGCCAAGCAACACACATGTCATGGCTTCTGCCGACCATATGGATGCCTTTGCAAAAAGCCACAAATATTTGTCTACAACTGTATCACACATGTGGACGGCGTGGAGCCTACAGCAGACCGGCGGCATGTTGTGTCATGTTATTTGACTCTGGATCTTTTCCTGAAGACTTACAAAGGGTCCCATGGAGAACCAGAAATGTGTGTGTTTGGTCGTGTGCATCAATTAGCAAGACTGATCGCAAGGAACTTCATCATTTGGTCATTTGGAGGGGGTTATTTGAAGATCCCGTAGTTTCGCATTTCCTACTTGCTAAAATTCCTTCAGAACCTCCCAGTCAATACCCCCAGTGCTTTCATGGTGGCTTTAGGGCAACGTAGAGTGGGGACATTTTTGAGTCCCTGCCATACACATTCCCCAAGGAAGTGTGACAGCGTGAACACTGCCTTGTGCGCTTTCAGCCTCTGTGCTTCTGAATTTTTGATGATTTCTGTCCACGATTTCACTGTTTCAAATGACTCCCCGGCCTGGAGCTGAAGTGCTTCCTAATGGAGTGCAGCACAAAGGGGCCGCGCCGTGCCTCGTGGAGAGAATAGGAGTGTTAGGTAAGCTTCGTTCAGGCATGAGTTCATGTACTGCTGGCCGTGGGCTCAGCGCCGCTGCATCAGTGATGCCATACATCCAGCGGGAAGCAGGAAGGGGCCTGCTGTCAGCGAGGCCGCTCCCGAATGGTGACAGTCACCTTTGCAGTTCACAGTGAAGCTCTGAAAAGAGGAAGATGCTGAATCTGTAGACTCAACAGCTGCTGGAGGACAACAGGAAGTGTTACCCTGGGACTGAAGGACACAGGCATCTACTGTCATCGCTCAAGGCCAGGAGATTATTGAACACTCTTGACAGTACTTTATCATAAAGAGATACTGTGTAAACATCATTATTTATTTTAAAAACCCAGGTATTAAATAAGGTGCCTTTCAATAGAAGAGTCACCTAAGACAGGTAACCTATTGGCAGTTGACCAAACTGTCCTTTCCAGGAAGGTTCACAGGAATTCAAACTGTGTATTTCCCTCCGCCAGCCATGACTCACTATCCCATATTCACTGTTTATGGGCGCTTTATCGTGTGTAGCTGCCATGTATTAGAAGAGCTGACTGCATACGGTCACAGCCTAATCAAAATGGAAGCCATCTTGCACTTCCTGCGGTTCACTCAGGTACCCCGTGTTTGCTAAGTGTCTGTCAGGACTACCCCTCCCCTCATTCTTTCTCCCTCCTTTTACTGCTTCTACCCTTTTTATTTTGCCCTGGTGCATTTAGAATTTGCTCTGGTACCGGAGCACACTGGTCCATCATTCCCAAATGAACACCTTAATTGGTCCCAGGTAGGAAAAGAAGCAATTATACCACAACCTCTCCTCCCTGAAGCCAGACAAAAGTCATATGAAAAAAAAATTCTCTGCTGACAGTGGCCAGCATCTCTCACAAAGTCTGCTGAGCCGGATGGTCCCTCTCCAGTCATTCTGCAGGGACATGGACTTGGGAAGGACTAGTCCCATCTGAAATTACAAACACATCATTTGAACATGACACATAGCATAGGAAACCCAGAGACTGCCTATGCCTCAGATGGGGTGCTCCAGGGAGGACATGGCATTTCACCCAGCGGTGCCTGCATGAGGAGGATTCGGGAAGCAGGACCCTTTCAAAAGCAGAGCAGGATCTCGCTGGAGCAAGTACAGAGATGGAAAAACACGAGCCATTCCTTCAGGTCAATTCTTAAAGAGCCTAGAAGCCAGCTGAAATGCCCTGGGCCTTGTTATCACTAACCAAGATCGTGGTTCCACATAGCAACTGCTACGTTCCCAGAGGAAGCCTTTCTCGAAACTTCTGCCTCCTGTTGCTAAGTGACTATTTGGGCTGTGTCTGGGTTTCTCTGCTTCTCAGGAATACCGATGTCTTTTTCCTCATTGTTCCTGGGTACAGACAGCAGAGTTGAGAGACGATGACAGTAGCATGCCCCTGTGCTCTAAAGGAGATTTCCCATGTGTTGTAGACACACGAGACTTCAGTGAGGGTTCATAGCTTGCTTTTCCGATTATAGGGATTGCCTGTGTGCATGAACTGTCAGAGAAGGGCTATGTGTGCAGATAGGATGCCAGAACGCTGCTTACAGAGCCATTTTCTCCTGATCCTCTCTCCCTGTTTCTAGCCCCAGGCCTCATTATGTGCGATGTCATATGCACACACAAACCAGACACACTAGAGCAGCCCATCACAGCTAGGACAGAAGTGCCAAGGGAGGTGTTTGTGTGAATCCCATCCTTGGAGTTAGAAGCATTTGCTCAGCTGCCAACTGCGAATAGCCACATGCTGCAGAGCAATGTTCATTAGTATGCCATTAAAAAAAAAAAAAAAAAGAAAAAGAAAGAAAACCACCACCCATAACCAAATAGCCACACACAAACCTGAAGTCCTGCCCTGACAGCCAGCATGAGGCATGGCCCACTAATGCATCCCTAATCCACTTTGTTTGGCAGGGAGAGCAAGCTCACCATGCTCCTGAGAGAGTCTCTGGGGAATGTGAACTGTCGCACCACCATGATCGCGCACATCTCGGCCGCAGCTGGCAGCTACGCGGAGACCCTGTCCACCATCCAGATCGCATCAAGAGTCTTGAGGATGAAGAAGAAGAAGACTAAGGTAAGGGGTTCTTAGCGGGAGGGAGGATGCGTTGGGGGACCAGAAGGGACTCACAGAGAGCCAGTGAACCTCGAAGTCCTCCGAGGGCCGAGGGCTGTGCAAATGCAGCTGCCACAGCTACCGCCTCAGGACAGGAAAACCTTCCCACCAACCCAGGACAAAGTTGAGTCTCCTTTTCGTGGTTGATGCTGTCCTGGGTCAGCCACCGTGACCCCTGACAGGGACTATTTTAGTAGATTACCACTGTAAGGTGAAAAAAAAAAATATTGAGAGGAATGGGTCTCCTACAGGGTCCTGCATAGGTGAGGACTGCATCCAGCGAGCTGCTCCAGAAAGGATGGTTGCTGCCTCGCTCGTGTGGCTCCACCACCCCTACACATCCAGGGGCCTTCCGGGCTGTGGGTTCTCCTGTTGATTCGCTGCCGTCTGCATTGTGTTGCGTTGCTAGATAATCCCCATTTGCACACTAGTGAATCTGTCTGTTTGGCAAGGTGGTGAACTATCTAGGCCCCACCTGACTTCCTGAAGGCTGATCTCCTGCCTCAGAACACTAGCCACGGAGTCTTGCCCCGGAGTATGCAGAGGAGAAGGAGGGGGGAAGCCGAAAGCCTCACCAGTGACCCCTAAATGTGGTTTTCTCAAACCCCGTTGCCATCCTCCTGCTACCCTGGCTTTGCTTCTGCCCAAGCAAGTGAACCTACGCAACACAATGCAGATGCACGCACACACACATGGACCGGGACAGGGAGGTGCTCTAGCACAGCCCAGTGAGGGCTGCCCCCTCCGCACACGAGTCAGCAGCTCGTCCCTGCCGTCCGACCCAGGCGCCCTAGGCTGGAGGGCTGGCTCAGAAGATCTCCCCACTAACGGTTCTCTTGCCCACGTTGCAGTACACGTCAAGCTCCTCGGGGGGAGAAAGCTCCTGTGAGGAGGGCAGGATGCGCAGGCCCACCCAGCTGAGACCCTTCCACGCCCGGGCTCCAGTGCATCCCGACTTCCCCCTCGCCCCGCTATCCAGCGATCCCGATTACTCCTCCAGCAGCGAGCAGTCCTGTGACACCGTCATCTACATCGGGCCCAACGGCACGGCCCTGTCTGACAAGGAGCTCACTGACAACGAGGGCCCCCCAGACTTTGTGCCCATCGTGCCAGCCCTGCAGAAGACCAGGGGTGACAGCCGGCCAGCGGAGGCAGCAGAGGCCGCGACCGGCAAGCCGGAAAGGGACTGTCTGAAGTGCAACACGTTCGCCGAGCTGCAGGAGCGGCTGGACTGCATAGATGGCAGCGAAGAGCCCAACAAGTTTCCCTTCGAGGAGCTGCCCGTCCAGTTTGGGGCGGAGCAGGCTAGTCGATGTCCCTCCTCAAGCCAAGCAGCAGGGCTGGAGGCATTCTCTGAGTCGGACAGAGAAGACAATGGGTCAGACAGTGGCCAGTTGACCGAGAGGGAAGGCGCAGAGCTTCCGGCCTCCAAGATGCCGCAGAATCGGTCCCCTGCGCCCCCGGTGATGCGCAGCAGCAGCCCTAGTCCGGCGTCGCCACGGAGCATCCCTGGCAGCAGCAACCAGCACAGTCCCTCCCAGCTCACACAGAGCCCCAGCCTGCAGAGCAGCCGTGAGAGCCTGAACTCCTGCGGCTTCGTGGAGGGGAAGCCCAGACCCATGGGCTCCCCGAGGCTAGGCATTGCCAGCCTGTCCAAGACCTCAGAGTACAAACCCCCTGGATCCCCCTCCCAGAGGTGCAAAGTTTACACCCAGAAGGGGGTCCTGCCCTCCTCCGCCCCACCACCTTCCCTCAGCAAGGACTCTGGCATGGTCTCCAGCGAGTCCCTGCTTCAGCCTGATGTGCGTACTCCCCCGGTCGGGATGAGTCCCCAGGTTTTGAAGAAATCCATGTCTGCTGGGACGGAGGGGTTCCCTGGAACCCCAGTGGAAGGGGAGCACCAGGAAGGCCCTCCTGCAGACGCCAAGAAGGAGATTCTGAGCACCACCATGGTGACGGTGCAGCAGCCGCTAGAGCTGAACGGGGAGGATGAGCTGGTGTTCACCCTGGTGGAGGAGCTGACCATCAGCGGGGTGCTGGACAGCGGCCGCCCCACCAGCATCATCAGCTTCAACAGCGACTGCTCTGTGCAGGCCCTGGCCTCCGGCTCTCGGCCCGTCAGCATCATAAGCAGCATCAGCGAGGACGCCGAGTGCTACTCCAGCGTGGCGCCCATCTCTGAGGTGAGCATCACGCAGTTCCTGCCCCTCCCTAAGCTGGGCCTGGACGAGAAGGCCCGGGAGACGGGCAGCCGGCGTTCCTCCATCAGCTCCTGGCTGAGCGAGATGAGCGCGGGCAGTGACGGCGAGCAGTCGTGCCACAGTTTCATAGCACAGACGTGCTTCGGGCACGGGGAAGCCATGGCGGAACCCCCAGCCTCGGAGTTCGTCAGCAGCAGCGTCCAGAACACCGCCGTGGTATGCAGAGAGAAGCCTGAGGCAGGCCCCGACAACCTGCTCATCTTATCTGACATGGGGGAGGAGTCTGTCCACAGAGCCACTCCCATCAAAGGCTGCAAAATCTCCACGCTGGGCAAGGCCATGGTCACCATCTCCAACACCGCCAGCCTGGGCAGCTGCGAAGGTTACATCCCCATGAAGACCAACATCACTGTTTACCCCTGCATTGCCATGAGCCCCCGAAACGTGCAGGAGCCCGAGTCCTCCACTGCCACCCCAAAGGCAGCTCCCAAAACATCCCAGCCCCAAGAAATCAAGGAAGCCAATGCAAGGAGAGAGATGAAATTTGAGGACCCCTGGCTCAAACGAGAAGAGGAGGTGAAAAGGGACAACGCATACTCCAGCGAGGAAGGGGTTAAGTGTGAGGCTGGCACAAGCTCCCTGACCCAGGAAGGGAAGTCAGAGCAGGAGCAGGATGGCAGGCCCAGCTCAGGCAACCGGCTAAGCAGCGCAGAGGCCGCCGCCTTTCAGGCGCCTGACAGCATTCGGAGGGTGGTGGATGGCTGTGAGATGGTCCTGCCTGGCTCGGCGGCCCAAAGTCCGCTGCATCCCAACAGGAATCTAAAGTCAAGCAGCCTCCCAAGGGCGTTTCAGAAAGCCGACAGGCATGAGGAGCTCGACAGCTTCTATCACTGCCTGGCGGACAGCAATGGCTTCAGCGGGCCTCCAGGCACCCAGTCCTCCAAGACAACCCTGGAGAGGAAAGTGGCTTCACCCAAGCATGGTGTTCTGGCTCGGCCCAAAGGGACACCGCCTCTGCCTCCTGTCCGCAAGTCCAGCTTGGACCAGAAGAACAGGGCCAGCCCTCAGCACAGTGGCAGTGGCGGCGGCACCAGCCGTCCCCTGAACCAGCCCGTTACCTTCTCGGCTTGCTTCCCCGATGAGGCCAACAGTAAGACTAAGGATGCCAGCAGCAGCAGCAAGCTCTTCAGCGCCAAGCTGGAGCAGCTGGCCAGCAGAACCAACTCTCTTGGCAGGACAACAGTCAGCCACTATGAATGCTTGTCGCTGGAGAGGGCCGAAAGCCTGTCATCTGTGAGCTCCCGCATGCATGCCGGCAAAGATAGTACCATGCCCCGGGCTGGCAGGAGCCTGGGGCGCAGCACAGGGCCCTCGCCCCCCAGCTGTGTCCTCGCCCAGGCCGCAGGGGCCTCTCCCAAGGCCAGCCAGTCTAAGATCTCGGCGGTGAGCAAGCTCCTGCTGGCCAGCCCCAAGTCCCGCAGCCTGTCCACCTCGACCACCAAAACCCTCAGCTTCTCCACCAAGTCCCTGCCGCAGTCCGTGGGCCAGAGCTCCAACCTGCCGCCCAGCGGGAAGCACCTGTCCTGGTCCACCCAGTCGCTCAGCAGGAACCGGGGCTCTGGGCTGGCTTCCAAGCTGCCCCTGCGAGCCGTCAACGGGCGCATTTCGGAGCTGCTGCAGGGCAGCGCGGGCCCGAGGGGCGCGCAGCCGAGGCCGGAGGCGGAGGAGCGCGGTGGGGCTCCCGCGGAGGACAAGGCCGCCGCCGTCCACCTGCTGCCCTCGCCCTACAGCAAGATCACCCCCCCTCGGAAGCCGCACCGCTGCAGCAGCGGCCACGGCAGCGACAACAGCAGCGTCCTGAGCGGGGAGCTGCCGCCCGCCATGGGCAAGACCGCCCTGTTCTACCACAGCGGCGGCAGCAGTGGCTATGAGAGCATGATGAGGGACAGCGAGGCCACCGGCAGCGCGTCTTCCGCCCAGGACTCCATGAGTGAGAACAGCAGCTCCGTGGGAGGCAGGTGCAGGGGCCTCAAGGCCCCGAAGAAGCGCTCTAACTCAGGTGGGTACCGGGCGTGGGCCGGGTGGAGAGAGGCACCAGGCTTCCCAGCCCTCCGCTTCTCTCTGGTCTCCAGCGGCCGTGTGGGTCGGCGCAGGTACCGGAGCTAAAGTCCTGTGCTCCCATTCCTCGGCGCCCTGACACCTGAGGGCATAACCCCAAGAGCCTTTCCTGAAGGCCTGGGTGCCAGGAGACGCTAGCTGTGGGGGTGTGGGGCAGGCCTCTGGCTCTTGCTGCTTCTACTTTCCCTCCCCTCCTCCTTCACATGTGCGTGCTTCTATTCAAAGGCGGAGACTATCCAGAGCCCTCTGGGAGAGTCAGTCAGACCCCCTACCTGTCTGACCTAGTACCGGGCTGGTGGCCTCTGAGACCCCGGAAATCTCAAGGCCTTGGGGACAAGGACCTGTCAATTTATTGAAAGTGGGATGGGGGAGGGCCTTTCTCCATTCCCGCCCCAAACAGGCTGGTGACAGTGATGGAGCCACACCAGCCGTGGGTCCCACGATGCCTCTCCCTGAGTGTGAGGCACTATAGGCTCATGCACCATGATGCCTACCCGCTTGTAGGGGGCTCTCTGCCATCTGCAGAAATATTCTGTCAGAAGGCACATATGCCCAAGCCCTCAGCCCTGGGTTACTGATGTGTTCCTTGGTATTTGGGGTGGACATGAGATGGTAAGTTATATTGGGCAAAAGGAAGACCAAGGTCAGAGCTGGTGGCCCAGGCACCATTCTGTAGGTGAGTTCAAAGGACAGAAGGGGGGGGATGGGCAGAGACTGAGGCAAAGATACCAAGAGTAATTTAGATGCCATGAGAGTTTTACCTGTAACTCCATCCTTCACAAGATGCTTAAAAAAATCGTCCCTATCAGTTCCCAAGTGTAAGAACTTTTGGGTTTTTTTTTTTTCTTATGAAATAAAATAATGTTTGCCCTGTGTTTGCTGCTGGACCTCTGTTGAGTGAGGGCAGCAGAGTAGAGTGTCCTCTTGGCCTGTCCTGGCTGTCCACTGCCCCACACACTGCCAGGGCTCTGCCATCGAGAGCTTTCTGAATCCTTTGCCCTGCGTGTCAGCATTGCCATCCTAGTCAGGATTAAGAGATGGGGTGACATATAGAAGAGGGTCCTTCTCCTTCCAGCAGCTGCTCTGAGAACTGTCCGTGGCCTTTCACTGTCTGCCATGGGCTGCTTTTGCCTGTTTCCTGCCAGCTGTGACACCCCCCCCCCCCCCCCCCCCCCCCCCCCCCCCCCCCCCCCCCCC